ACAAAAACCTCCTTTTTTAAAATTATACTCATACCATTTAGAGTTCTTACTGTGTTCACTGGGAAAGAGGGCGGTGTTCTCCCTTCCTCCAGCTCCTCCCAGTTGATGGAGTCCAGAAATGGATGGGTTCGGATGTCCTCCTTCGTCCCAAGTTTCTCATCTGGGTACTTGCACAGCAGCTATGGAAGACAAATGAAGAGACAGTTAACATAGATTACACTAAAATTATGACAGATGTTCTAACCCTCCCTACTTTGCCCAACATAAATATCAATGAGTTGAGTTCTGCTTTAATAACATAATACAATGTGCACAACAGTGATTTACCCGCGTGGCATCTTCTGACCTGCTCAATCCCATGAGAAACTGTTACCAATGTTGAGTAACTAGAACTTCACCATGGGACAGAGAAGCCAATTTATCCAACAATCTCGCTGACAACCAGACTTGGCAACAAACCTTCATTATACTCCTAAAGCAGCAGCAGTAGGCCTGAAGCCTTTCCTGTGGCTGTTTAGAGTCAAACAATGTGTTATTCTACCTACTCCTTTTATGAAGTACTCCAGGTCTGGGTCCATGTTAGGAGGGTAAACTGGATTGCAGAAGTTTACCTCTCTACTGTACTCATCAAAGGTCCTGGACCTAAATGACCCCCAGTGAGAACCACTTAGGTTCAAACTGGTAGACGTCGTTGTTAATAACCTGTCAATTTAGTAAAGAGACACCGGTTAGTACATTGGTCATTCTGGAAATGTAATACAACCAGAGAAAGTCAAGGAAGCCTATAGAAAGCTTTACAAAGGTGCATAGCACTCTGTTGGCTTTTTGGGACTGTGAGCGCTATTAAAAGGTAGGCTCCCATTGAGCCAAAGGAAAAATAAAGCACAACCAATGTGCTGAACAGGTAAGGAGGAGTCAGGACCTGCATATTTAATAACTGTCCCCATTGAAATATAAACTAACAAACTAAGAAAAGTAGCAAGGTTTTGAACTGATAAATGTTCAATGATAAGGTAATTTACATTGTGCTGATCAGTGTCATGTGTATGTCTCATATGTTAATTTTACAGCTATCAGAAGGATAGTGAATGAATTGTGATATACTGATTAGATGGGGTCTTGTTATAAGTAGGGAGAACTTGACATACCTCTGGGGCCATGTACCCTAGGGTGCCAGTGTAGCCTGTGGCAATCTTATCATCATATAGGTTTACAATTGCCAGACCAAAATCGGCAATGCGGACATGCCCATTGCCGTCCATCAGGCTGTTGTCCGGCTTGATGTCCCTGTAAACAGAAAAAGTGTGAGCTTCATCCCCTGGCATGTGTCACCTGGAGCAGGTTTAAAGGATCACTTTACCGACAGCTGATATTTCAATTATAAGTGTCTGCTAGTGGGATAAGTTTTCCACTGGCTTCCTGTATCAGGTGGTGGAAAAGTGGGAAGACGATAGGTACCCACACAAACAGGTGCGTCTCCCCAATCTCATCCCAGCAGACATTTTACTGCGGTGTACTTGGTTTGTAAAACTATCAAATTAAAGGGTTACCTATGGAGTATGCTACGGCTATGAAGATACTCAGGCCACATGATGTTTCGGCCGCAATTAACCTATATTAGAGAGACTGTTTATATTTGGAAGAAAATTACATTTTAAATAAATTAAATTCATATAGAAACATAAGAGGGGTGAGGTACAAGGAAGGAGTCCCACCTGGGATTGGGTAAGTACAATAGCAGTCCCACCTGGGATTGGGTAAGTATATCTCTTTTAGTTGTGGCCCAAGACCAAAACAAGCAGTTAACATTTGCAGTGCAGGGGTAGCCCCGCTTCAAGGGTTAATTTTTTAACTGCCCTGCAGCACTGAGTATGTAAAAGAACAACAGAAAGAAGAGCATGTTTATTACTGTATATGCAACCTGATTGTATTACAGTAATAAATAGCGAGGCTTTGTTTGGACTAAATATCTTATAAAGCTTGCTTTCTCTTCTATTCTTTTTTTTATAATTCCTCTTTATTTTTTTCAACAATTTATAATAATAATAATTTACAACCACATAATTAATAATGTCATTTACAACAACATGATTATACATCCACATACATACAACTCACATTTAAGATACTGCTAGTTTCACTATTTAGTCCACATTTTAATATTTACATTTCATAATCAACCCTGAACAATCTTCATATTATATTTACCAAATCTTCAATTAGCTTCCCACATGGCCTATCTAACTCCATTAATATCCTTCACCCTCTCCATTTATATTGTGATATTTTCTACCTCCATATTTAGTGTTTCATATTAATTAATTTTGTATATTATTTAGGTGTTTACTCTCAAATATATAACTTTTCCCTTATTATATCGAAACAAGAAACCCCCTACTACATATTTATAGTGTATAATATATACCGTATATACTCGAGTATAAGCCGAGATTTTCAGCCCATTTTTTTGGGTGAAAAGTGCCCCCCTCGGCTTATACTCGAGTCAGCGCCAGCGCGTCTTCTTACTTACCTCGCCGAGCGTCGCGTCACTGCTGCTCCGGTGTGCGGCGCTCCGAGCGGGGTCATATTTTTCCCCCCTTTACCACTTAAAAATCAAAGCTTTATTGAAGTGAACATTAACTTATACTATAGATAAATTTAGTAATCTAAGTGGAGCCAAACCAGGCATAGAAAGCCATGGGGACCATATCTTCCAAAATTTCTCCAAACATCCTCTATGTATAAAGATCATTCTTTCTTTCAGTAATATTTGGTTAACCTGAATACACCACACCTGTAATGTGGGAGGTCTAGGAGACAACCATCTAAAGGCAATCAATTTACTTGCTATACCCAGCAATCTTGTTTTTATGTCACCGATCCCCCGACCCTGTCCCTCCCCCTCCTCACAATTCAGTAAACACAGCCAGGGATCCATCTCCAATGAAATATCAAACAATTGGTTACTCAATCTAATAATATCTTCCCAGTACCTAAATAATTTGGGACATCTCCACAACATATGGATCAGGTTGGCATTAGTACCTTTACATCTAGGGCATTCCCCTGTATCTACCCCACCTTAAAAGTTTCTGAGGGGTATAATAAACTCTATGAACTATAAATAACTGGGTAAGGCGCTGGGTAGTCGAGAGAGAGGATCCAGGAATATTTGCCAATATGGCTAACCATTCTTCATCTCATCCTCGCCTACATGACAGCATCCTATCTTTGGCCCAAGCCCTTATTAAAATATCATATACTTTAGATATGAACACTTTCTTATAGTTAGATTTTGCTACTATATGTACCAGTTCTCTTCTATTCTAAACTTAGTTATGAGCCTTAATTGATGGGTGTTGTCAGGGGTCCCAGGGCTGCAGGGTCCTGCAGGTTCCTGAGCGGCAGTCGCCGTACTCAGGGTTGTATTGGTTGCCTTAACCTCAGTCGAGGCAAGACAGGATGGGCTGCAAAGTCCTGAAGACCCTGGGCAGTCGCTCACCTCAGCCGGGGTGAGCTGGTCAGAGCTGCAAGGCCCTTGGCAGTCGCTCATCTCAGCCGAGGTGAGCTGGTCAGAGATGCAACACCCTGAAGGCACTGGGCAGTTGCTCACCTCAGCCGAGGTGAGCTGGTCAGGGCTACAAGGCCCTGAAGGGCCTGGGCAGTCGCTCACCTCAGCCGAGTTGAGCTGGCCAGAGCTGCAAGGCCCTGAAGGCCCAAAGCAGTCGCTCATCTCAACCGAGGTGAGCTGGTCAGGGCTGCAAGGCCCTGAAGGCCCTGGGTAGTCGCTTACCTCAGCAGAGGTAAGCTGGTCAGGGCTGCAAGGCCCTGGGCAGTCACTCACCTCAGCCGAAGTGAGCTGGTCAGAGATGCAACACCCTGAAGGCCCTGGGCAGTTGCTCACCTCAGCCGAGGTGAGCTGGTCAGGGCTGCAAGGCCCTGACATTACACTCTGGTGAGTGTCCAAGGTGCCAACCTCAGCCGCACTGGAGGTGACGGTGATAGTGCCATCCTCTGAGGGTTTTGAAGATGATCAGTGGCATAGATCATTCTCCCCAGATATGCACTGGAACAAGCAATTGCCCATGACAGGCAATTGCAAGCTAAGAACAGCACAGCACAGAAGCTGTTTAAATAGTAACTGTCACGCTGTATGCAGCTTCTGAAAGTGTTTTTTTATGTCCCCGGTGATATTTCCGGGGACATAATTTGTCCGGGGATGGTCTCCTCAATCCGGGGACTGTCCCCAGAAATCAGGGACGAATGGTCACCCTAACTTAAGGGGAATACAAAGATACTGTATATAGGCTTGAAAGAGTACAATTTATTAAGGCCTGCAATGGCAAAGTGAGCCAGCACTTTCCAGTGAACAATTGCTGAGACTGAAGCAGTCAGACATGCATGACGTGAATGAATTTGCTCATCTCAAATCAGGACCTGTCACTGAGAAAGCAGCAGTTTTACTGTCTGAGCCACCAAGGCTCTATCGAGGCATGCTAAGCAATCTCAGATTTCTGGGTTTTTTGATCAAGAGGGGTTTAATAGAATTATAAACACAGGGGATTCAGCAGATGACTGACTCATTATATAAAGCAAATACAATTTTCCATTTAAATGACACAGGGGATTTTTGAAGTCACAATAGTGATTCTAGGTGAACTACCAAATAAGAAGTTAATTTCTGCAGAGTGGGACAGAGAAGAAAGGGAGCAGAGCTACAGGTGGAGGCAATTAGGAAAACAGTAGCAACATAAGGTGATAAATAGAAAACAGGAAGAGAATACGTAAGATGAAGAAAAAAATAGAGTGGCTACAGGAGGAGGTAAATGGGTAATTTGGAGAATAGCTGAGACAAAGGAGATATGGTGCTTAGACAGAGGAAAAAGAGAGTGGCTCTAAAACAGAGGAGAAGGTGAGTGGTGCTGAGACAGAGGAGAAGGAAAGTGGCCCTGAGACAAAAGAGAAGGAGAGTGGCCCTGAGACAAAAGAGGAGAGTGGTGCTGAGACAGAGGAGAAGGAGAGTGGTGCTGAGACAGAGGAGAAGGAGAGTGGTGCTGAGACAGAGGAGAAGGAGAGTGGTGCTGAGACAGAGGAGAAGGAGAGTGGTGCTGAGACTGAGAAGGAAAGTGGCGCAGAGACAGAGGAGAAGGAAAGTGGCCCTGAGACAAAAGAGAAGGAGTGTGGCACTGAGTCAGAGGAGAAGGAGAGTGGTGCTGAGACAGAGGAGAAGGAGAGTGGTACTGAGTCAGAGAAGGAGAGTGGTACTGAGACAGAGGAGAAGGAGAGTGGTGCAGAGACAAAAGAGAAGGAGAGTGGTACTGAGTCAGAGAAGGAGAGTGGTACTGAGACAGAGGAGAAGGAGAGTGGTGCAGAGACAAAAGAGAAGGAGAGTGGTACTGAGTCAGATTAGAAGGAGAGTGGTACTGAGTCAGAGGAGAAGGAGAGTGGTGCTGAGACAGAGGAGAAGGAGAGTGGTGTCAGGAGGAGGTAATGGATGGAAAAGGATAACAATAGCTGATACATAGGAGAGGGAGAGTGGATATAGTAGTAGGTAAATGAGGAAATATGAGAACAGCTGAGGCAGAGGAGAAAGAGTGTGGCTACAGTAGATAAGTAGGGAAACAAGAAAATAGGGAAGACAGGAAAGAGCAGAGTCAGACAAAGAGGTGACCAGGGAAAAGGAGAAGAACTACTGAGAAAAAAGTCAAGGAAAGTGGCTACTGGAGGAGGTAAATAGAGAAACAGGAGGTGAATAGCTGACACAGAGGAGAGAGTGGCTACAGGAAGAGATAAATAGGGAAAAATTATTTATCTATAATTTTTCATATTGCCCTACACAGCCATCCTCTGTTAAAGAAAATCATCAATCACTTAGTCTGTAGCTGTCTATATCGTATATATGGCAATTACGCATCCATATTCCATCATGCAAACAAACCTAAGCCGGCTTCATGGTGTCAGAATTAAGTAATTAATTCTGGTAACTGCCGGCAGCAAGAAGTAACAGCTGTGGTGCCAGTCCATCACCGACGTGTTTCGTCCGTGAACGTGCAGACTTTTTCATGGGGTCAAGACTAGAGTGGATTTCATGATAATAGACATTTTATGCCGTGGGAAGCAGTTTTTCCGTCTGGAACCGCAATCGCAGCTGGCTTGAAATGATTAATGTGCAATAAGTACTGGATCCGGTGCAGGATGAATGAAGTGTGTTTGATGTGATAGTGCATATCGTTTTGACAACATTGTCAATAGTTTTGAGTTCACAAGGGGAGGGTTCTGGGTTGTTTGGATTTATTGGCACAATTTTGAATTTCAAACATCCTGGTAATAAAGTATTATTATTTATAGAGGTGGTCCATGGTTCCCTGCTTTTCATTGCTTTTTTTGTGTCGCTGTTATAATGGGTGCACCTCCTCCTTGCCTGGTACTAGCCTTTAAAACATTTGCACATTATGAGAGATCATTGTTTAGTTGATATTGGCAAAACAGCAGAAGAATAGCTCGGACAGAGTAGAAAAGCAGTACCTAGAGGAGGAGGTAAACAGGGAAAGAGAATAGTAGAGACAGAGGAGACCAGGGACAGAGGAGGAGGTCATCAGTGAGCAGGAGGAGAATAGCTGAGACCAGAGGAGAGTGGCTACTTGAAGAGTTAAATGTGGAAAGAGGAGAATTGTGGAGAAGAGAGCAGGGTAAGAGGAGAAGGTGATCAAGGGAATAGGAGTACAGGAAAGGCTAGGCCAGTTGTGGTAAAAGCAAACATAGTGATGCCTGCAGCTGTGCTCAGGAACGTTTTCATTCAGAAAAGTGTACGGTGCATGAGAGAGGTTTAAAAGAGAACTGTGGGGTAACCTTTTTATCCCATAGTCCTCTTTAGGGTGATGGGAGGCCATATACTAACGTCCTCCCATGACCCAAAGCTCAGTATGTAGCGAGCCATAGCTCGCTATATACTGAGAGCGCCGCAGTCAGGACGGATCCCGACATAACTGTCAAGATCCACCCAGCTGGCTGATTGATAGCAGGATCTGACTATCTAGAAGCAGAGCCAGCTGTGCCCGCCGCCTCCTCCATCTGTTCCTCCAGTCAGCACCGGAGGATCGGAGAGGGGAGGGGGGAATCCCTGCGGGGAGCGGTGACTGACCGTCACCACTCTCTGCAAGGAGATGATCAGGAAGTAAGCGAGCAACGGTATTTTTTTCGCTCACTTCCCGATCAATAGAGCCGACCTGTGACAGTTTCATTGTCACAGGCTTGCTCTAACTATGAGGATGAGTAATGAGTACTTTCAATCTCTCCCTCTCTACTGGAATCTTTCCCTTCCCTCTAAAGCATGCCCTGGTCACCCCAATACCCAAAAAACCTTCAATGGACCCTACCGACCATAACAATCTCAGACCAATCTCCTTACTCCCATTCACCTCCAAACTCATAGAACGCCTTATCTACAGCTGCCTGAGCCGCCACCTCGCTGATAACAACCTTCTCGATCCCGGCTTTCGCCCCCTACACTCCACTGAAACCGCCCTCCTAAAACTCACTAATGACTTAGTAACAGCTAAACACAACGGCCACTATTCCTTACTCTTGCTATTAGACCTTTCTGCTGCTTTTGACACTGTGGACCACCTGCTCCTCCTCAAAAAACTCCACTCACTTGGCCTACAAAACTCTGCTCTCTCATGGTTCTCCTCTTACCTGTCTAAGCGCTCCTTTAGTGTCACCTACAAATCTAACTCCTCCCCTCCTCTTTCTGTAGGGCTCTGTCCTTGGACCCCTTCTCTTCTCTATCTACACCTCCTCTCTTGGTCAGTTAATAACCTCACATGGCTTCCAATACCATCTCTATGCCGATGACACTCAAATCTATCTCTCTACTCCGCAACTCTCCCCCTCAGTGTCCTTGCGTGTCACTAATCTACTAACTGACCCAAAGCGACTAACTGTCGCGATGTCACAACACTTCTTAAAACTCAACCTTTCAAAAACTGAGCTCTTGATATTTCCTCCTGCCCGTGCACCTTCCCCCAACTTTTCCCTTGAGATTGTTAACACAACTATCCAGCCCTCCCCCCATGCCAAGGTCCTAGGTGTCATCCTTGACTCGGACCTCACCTTTCTTCCCCACATCCAATCACTATCCAAATCCTGCTGCCTTCACCTTCGTAACATCTACAAAATACGCCCCTTCCTCACCAAAGAAATCGCAAAATTACTCATCCACCTCCTTGTTATCTCTTGTCTGGACTATTGTAACTCCCTCCTCATTGGCCTACCTCTACACAGGCTATCCCCCCTTCAGTCTATCATGAATGCAGCTGCTAGACTCATCCACCTAACCAAATGCTCAGTGTCTGCAACCCCCCTCTGTCAATCCCTGCACTGGCTTCCTATAGCCCAAAGGATAAAATTCAAAATATTAACAACCGCGTACAAAGCCATCCACAACTCTGGCCCCGGCTATATCTCCAACCTGGTCTCAAAGTATTGCCCTAACCGTCCCCTCCACTCTTCACAAGACCTCCTGCTTTCCAGCTCCGTCATCAACTCCTCCCATGCTCGCCTCCAGGACTTCCCTAGAGTGTCTCCCATTCTATGGAACTCTCTACCCCAACCTGTCCGTCTATCTCCCACACTGACTGCCTTTAGGCGATCCCTTAAGACTCATCTCTTCAGGGAAGCCTATCCCACCTCAACCTAACCACTGAACAATCACTTTCTCAAACAATCATCCCCGCACAGCTACCTCCTCATGTATCACTTGCCCCTCCCTTTTAGATTGTAAGCCCTCACGGGCAGGGCCCTCCTTACCATCTTGTCTTAAATTGTATTGTGACTGTAATGTCTTCCTTATATTGTAAAGCGCTGTGCAAACTATTGGCGCTATATAAATCCTGTATAATAATAATAATAATAATAATAATAATGAGTAAAAATTACTCACCTCATAGTTCTCCTTTAATGACAAATCTCATTGTGACATATACAGCAAGAAACAGATCTTTGTTCTTATTAATTTTAGGATATAGAGATCAAGTTTCTCTGCCAATATACAGTATACTGTATATGCTGGAAAGAAAAAAGAAAAAAAAGTAAAAGTTAAGAAATTTGAACTGCATGCTCCCTTGATAATGCCATGAATGGAAAAGTTAGATAAAAACTGCTTCAGCTGCCGGAGAACATTAAAAGAGCTAAGCTACCTTAAAGTGCCCACGTTCTTTATTCTAGTGCTACATTACTACAACGTATTATATTGACCTGCAAAGATGATTAAACTTTCATTAACACATATTCTTTTGTCAATGAATGAATTTTGAAAATGAATATGATACATTTCCAGAATGATAAATGGTTCATTTCAATCAAATCTTGATAAAATGCACATTTATTTTCAATAATAGGACATCTTACTTCCTTGGAATTAGGTGAATTCATGAACTGAATATTTTGTAGAAAGCATAAATTCTTCACACAGTTATAGAGTGGATAAAAACAGTACCAAGAAAACATTATTCAACATTTAGCCCGAACTTTGTTTTATGTTTAATCATGATTGGCAAACTCCTGATAAAAATATGTCCCCAAGCACCCCATCCTTTAAGCAATACCCATCAGCTAAGACTCACCCTTCTTCTCCCACTGCACCCCTCTTCTACCACTACATCCCCCTTTACCTTTCTTCCAGCACTGAACCCTCCCAACACCTCCTTTGCATCACTGTCCCTCCAGCCCCCCTTATTTCACCACTGTATTCCAGCATCCCAATTCCTCCAGTGCACTTTCATCATATTTTCTAGAAAGCATAAATTCTTCACACAGTTATAGAGTGGATAAAAACAGTACCAAGAAAACATTATTCAACATTTAGGCCGAACTTTGTTTTATGTTTAATCGTGATTGGGACACTCCTGACTCCTAAACTCCCACAATACAGACTGCAGAGGTCAGGAATACTTAAGCACAAACAGTGCTGGCATTCAGGCATAAATTCCCCCTAAAGCAAACATTTTCCCTAGTAAAAATATGTCCCCAAGCACCCCATCCTTTAAGCAATACCCATCAGCTAAGACTCACCCTTCTTCTCCCACTGCACCCCTCTTCTACCACTACATCCCCCTTTACCTTTCTTCCAGCACTGAACCCTCCCAACACCTCCTTTGCATCACTGTCCCTCCAGCCCCCCTTATTTCACCACTGTATTCCAGCATCCCAATTCCTCCAGTGCACTTTCATCATATTTTCTAGAAAGCATAAATTCTTCACACAGTTATAGAGTGGATAAAAACAGTACCAAGAAAACATTATTCAACATTTAGGCCGAACTTTGTTTTATGTTTAATCGTGATTGGGACACTCCTGACTCCTAAACTCCCACAATACAGACTGCAGAGGTCAGGAATACTTAAGCACAAA